AAAGAGAAAAACTAGAGAGAAAAACAGGCATCAACCATGGGGTGGGGGACGACACACAGGACCAACTATAAAGACATAAAAGGGACATCGAAATGGAGCTGTAAGTGAAAAAAATAAAAGGAAAAAATTAAAAAAAAGAAAGCCACTTAATAACTGAAAAAGAGGAGAAGACAAGAAAATAGAGCTATAGAAGAGAAAAATAAGAGAGGAAGGAAAAAAATTTAGACACCCCAGATTGAAGATGAAAAGACAAAGAGTGTATGGTGGTGGTGGTGTGCCATGAAGTCATTTCTGACTCACAGTGGTCCTGTATAAGGTTCCTGAGGCTGCAGATCTTTACAGGAGCAGAAAGCCTCATCTTTCTCCTACAGAATGGCTGATAGTTGAACTAATGACCTTGAGGTTAGCACCCTGACTTGTAACCCACTAAACTACCAAAGCTCCTTAAAGAAAGATCAAAAGGGAAATAAAAGAAGATGGGAAATCAGAAGGAGCAGAAAAAAAGGACAATAGTAGAGATAGAATAAAATTCAAGGGAAAGGACAGAGAGAAGAAGGAAGAGAAAGAATAAGCAAACAAGAAAAGATAAAAACACAAACCCCAAACCAAAAAATACAGTGTAGCTGTTGAACCTAGAGAGGAGAACTCTGGGGGCTCTTGCAAGCTGAGCAGCTCAAGGAGATGGACGTGGGAGGGATGTGAGAGCAGAAGTCTTGGCCTTAGATGGGGTTCCTATTAGCCTCCTTATCTATGTTCAGGGCACATGAAGGCCCTTGATGTAGCTGGTTTCAGTGTCTGTTAGGACCACAGGGTAGCTGGGGGCTGAAGCAGCACCGCCGACCCCTGCCTCACACTGGCATGGCTCCAAACTTCTAGGGAGGAGGATCTGAGCTGGGAGTGGAGGAAGGTTGGAGGTGACCTCACCTCTGATCACCAGGGGAGCGTGGAGGAAAAAGAAGGAATCACACCTTTCCCGTCTTATCTGTGAATCTACTCTGCCAGGCCACCTTCTGTTGCCAAAACTGCTCTTAAGATGGCTGTGCCGTTCACCAGTCTGTCTTCCTATGTCTCTGCCCCTGCTTAGGTTCTTCTCCTGACATGCACTCAGTCCAGTTCTCTAACCTTTTCTCTGAAGTTCTGGGTTCAAGGATCTTCATCTGTTTCATTTTGTCTCTTGTGTCTGTTTGTTGTAGAGGGTCCATGTAGTGTGTCTGCCTAGTCCCTGTGATGATAGTTTGTCTTTACTGTTTCTACTATTTCCGCCCTTCACTCAGTAAACTTAATTCAAAGTAGAAAAAAATAAAGAAGTGGTCCTTCCTGCTAGAAAGGTTGAAGAACCCCTGCTGTGTTCAGCAGCCCTTCTTTTACTGTAGATGTTGATGCTCTTAGCTAATCTTTCATTCATCAGATTACAGACTCCACGGTGCATCCCAGTTACACATTCTTTCTACATGTCTTTATCACTTCTTGCTCTGTAGCCAAAAGAAAAGCATACAGCTTTTGGAGGAAAATATCTTTGAAAGGGAATCTCTCACTGTAGATAATATGAAATAGATAGTAATAGGTAACATTTGTTAGTGCTAACTATGTACAAAGCACTGTTCTAAGGACTTTTCACATGTTTGTTTATTTATTTCCTTCTTTATAACTGAGGAAACATACTGGAATGACCCTAGTTTTACCACTGATGAATGCTGGAGCCTTAACATGGGCAATCTGACTTCAGAGTCTACCTTTCATCCACTATACTACAGCTAGTAGAGATGGATCATATAACTGTAATGAAAGATGAGCAGATAAATATTGGATATGTTGCTATGTGACAGCAGTTAAGTCACAGAAAAGAGGCTTTTGTGGTAGACTTGAAAAGAAAAGTTGATTTTTGCTGGTAGACAAAGTTGGGAGGTAAAATCGGTAGTAGTGGTATCAGAAATTGTCTAAAATCATTGAGGGGGGGGAGAGGATGATGAAAATTCCCATCCAGATCAGCTCAAGGCTGATTAATATGAGGTGGAGATCAGACATACACCTCCACTCTCTTAACCTTTGTTCTTTTACAAATTCTGACACCAGCTGTGTTCCTTCCTCCCCTTCACATATAACTACCTTCTACTGGACTGGGTTTGGTCATTTGTTGCAGTGGCCACACAGAACTCACGGACTGTGCTCAAGATTATGAGGGAAGAAACAGGTTACAATTCAGGACCAGGATCAACTTGGAAGTAACGAGATTCACTCAGGATACGGTTCTTCAATTAGAACAGGCTCTTTTCAGCTGTGACCACAGGCCGACCTAGCCCTCAGCCTCTGCTGCTGGGCCCTGCTTGGGCTTGACCTTTGGTCTGCTTGGGCAGGTGTAGCTCTTTAGCTCTGTAAGTTGGCAAGCTCCATTGCAGCTGTCTTCCAGTGTTATGGTTCTTGCCACTTGTGCCACTGCTGCTCTTGATGTACCTCTCTCGTCGTTTCTCATAGTCTTCAGTGTTAAAGCTTCTGGTTCTAGGAGGTTCTCAGCACCAGGGATCTCAGCACCAAGGACATACTCTGCTTCTGGCTGAGGATCCCTGGTATTGACTCTTTTAAACCTGCAAAACTGACCAAATCCTTTGGTAGACCACAGGCACCTTATTTGCATTGTTGTTGTTGTTAAGTGTTGTCCAGTTCTGAGTCATCCAACCTTGTATAGGGTTTCCGAGGAGCAGCTGGTGAGCTTGAACCTCTGATCTTGGAGTTCACATTGACTTTGCAGTCCAGTGCATTAACCCACAGCGCCACACCAGGACTCATTATTTGCATAATTGCTGTCTAATTGCTGCAAGCTTTACACACTTATTTGCATAGTCCCAGCCAATCATTTTGTGATCCTTAAAAGACCCTTGGCTGGAAAAGCCATAAACAAAAGCTGCAGTAGGTCATTCTATGAAAAAAAAAAAAAAAAATCAGATAAGTGAATGCACAGAGGTGGGTCACATCTGAAGTGTTCAAAGAAAACAAGCACCCCTAGTCGTCAAGTGTTTCTCTTGTATTCATATGGTTTTCAGTGACTAAATATTCAGAAGTCATTTGTCACTCCTTCTTCCTAGTCTGTCTTCATCTGGAAACTCATCTGAAACCTGTCCACCATGAGTGACCCTGCTGGTATTTAAAATACCGGTAGCATAGCTTTCAGAATCACAGCAACTCACAAGCCGCCACCACAGTACGACAAACTGACGGCCGAGTGCACAATACCTTTTTCAAATGTTGAAGGGCAAAGATGTCAGCTTGAGGACTAAGGTGTGCCTGACCCAAGCCATGGTATTTTCAGTAACCTCATATGCATACGAAAGCTGGACAGTGACTAAGGAAGACCGTAGAAGAATTGATACTTTTTAGTTATGGTGTTGAAGGAGAATGTTGAGAGTGCCCATGGGCTGCCAAAAGAACAGTTTTGGAACAAGTGCAGCCAGAGTGCTCCTTGAAGGCCAAGATGGCCAAACCTCGTCTCTCATACCTTGGATGTATTGTCAGGAGGGACCAGTCACTTGAGAAGGATATCATGTTTGGTAAGGTGGAGGGTCAGTGAAAAAAAGGAAGACCCCCAACGAGATGGATTGGCCAAATGGCAGCATCGATGGACTCAAGTGTGGCAACAGTAGTGAGATTGGCCCAGGATTGGGCAGTGTTTCATTCTGCTGTGCATAAGGTCACTATGGGCCGGTACTGACTCGATGGCACCTAACAACAAGTTATCAAATATTTAATTGAAATTTATCTATGGAGCTAAGATTACTGCTATGGTTTTTTAATCAACTTGACTCTTGTGAAATGTATACTGTTATCCAAGGATAATTTTGAAACTACTTAACAACATATTCAAGTAACAATGAAATGCACTTATGACTCTACCTTTTCTTTGTTTTTAACCATCTCACCATTAGTAACAGGAGTCCTGGTGTGCTGCTGTAGGTTAGTGCGCTGGACTGCAAAGTTGGTTTGAGCCGCAAGGTCTGCAGTTCAAACTCACCAGCCTCTCCATGGAAACCCAATACAGGGTTGCTATGGGTCAGAACTGACTCGATGGCACGCAACAGCAATAACAACCATTAATAATATGTACTGCATAACAATGTTGCCCCACAGGTGCTCAGATTGGATTTATAAAGATACTGATAATAAAAAAGTTGTAATTTGACATCAAAACTGATTTAGGACAGAGTGGTTGTAACAAAACCCTGTCATGAATTGGGGACTTGCCTGTACATTTAAACATAAGATCTTTGAACAGATGTAAAAACATTTACATGTGTGTAGCACATTGTCTTTCATGTGTACTTAATTGTGCATACTTAACTGAATGTTTCATCTTTATTTTTAATTTCCTAGAACCAGGTTGCATAGCCATGAAGGGTAGCACTTATCTAAAATTTAAATAAAATTATTCTAGGCCTAAAATAAGTTAAATAGGTAAGCATTTTAATAATGATAAATTCAACTTCTACAATGGATACTATCTTAGTTTTTGAGGAGAAATGAGCATTTCTCAGCTGGTGAGATGACTTAAATAAATAGATTAAGAATGATTTTCAGTGCTGTTTTGTAGGATAATTTTGTCTTTATTACAGTTAATTTCATGGGTGGGAGAACAGAAACTAAATAGATATACTGTCTGAATACCAGAGTTCAGTGGAAAATTCCCCAACCATGTTGAGATCTACTTTACAGAAGCTGAAAAATGAGAACTAAGCAAGAACATTTATTTGTTCCTTGGAGGTCCTAGGCAGACATACTCATTCTGATTCCCTTTGCTTTTTACCACCTCTCTGTGACAATAAAAGACGTTGAATTTTCTAAAACTGTTTTCATTTTACTCTAAAGTTTTAATGAATGCCATAAAGCTTATGTTTTCCTTGTTCATTATAGTTCTTAATCTAAAAATATTTCAAACTTATTTTGACTGTTTTGATACATTTTACCACAAGCTACTGGAAAATGAATATTTGCCTTTTAAATTTTCCTTGTAGGAAATTCGACGTCTTTATCAATATGTGAAATTTGCTGTCCAAGATGTGAATGATGTTCTAGACTTGGAGTGGGATCGGCATCTGGAACAACAGAGAAAACAAAAGTGAGCAAGGTCTTTTATATACCTTGGGTTGGAGTTATTGTTGCTATAAAGTGCCATTGAGTCAGTTCTGACTCACAGCGACCCTGTATGGGGTTTCTGAGGCTTTACATCTTTGTGAGAGTAGAATATCTTGTCTTTGCCGCAGCACAGCTGGTGCACTCAGACTGCTGACTTTGTGGTTCACAATCCAGTGCTTACCTTATGTTGCTATCACACTCCCTGAGTTGGCGTAGATACTGTTATACCCATTCAACCTACTACCATAAAATTGTGGCTCGTAGTAACCCAACATGGCAAAGCAGACTGCTCCACAGGGATTTCAAGCTTGTGAATCTTTGTGGGAGCAGACACCCTCATCTGTCTCCTTTGGGATGACTGGTGAGTTTGAACCAATGACCTTGTGGATAGCAGCCCAATGCTTAACCCACTCTGCCACCAGGACACCTTGATATTGTCTATCCTTGGTGAAAGATGTTTTAGCAGCAAATATAAAAACTACAAATGTTTATTCCCTTTGAATCAGTTATTCTACTTCTAGAAACTTATTCTATAGATGTAATAGACAATACTCAATTTACATACAAGTGTTTCTATTATTTATGATCATGAAAAATTGAGTTAAGCTTTATTATCCAAAAGTAGAAGAGTGATTAAATAAATGTGGTCTTTTTTTTGCTACAGAATATTATATAACCATTGAATATCATGTTCTCAGAAAAAACTGTATTGAGTATACTTTATAAGTTATATGAAACATGAAATATTAATCATATAACTTTAAATGCAGTATATAAAACAGAATATTTAAGAAAAAAGTAATACACAAAAGCACATCATGTTGTTAAGTGCCATTGAGTCAGTTCTGACCCATAGCGACCCTGTCTAGGGTTTCTGAGGAGCAGCTGGTGAGCTTGAACCGCCAACCTTGCAGTTCTGGCGCATTAACCCACAGCGCCACACCAGAAAAGCACATTGGGTAATATTAATGTGGATGTATAAATGTGGAAAAGAGGAAGGAAGTAAATCTATCAAAATATTAACAGTTTTATCTCTCAGATGGGATTAAGAGGAATTTTTGTTTACTTTTCTGTAAATTTCAATTTTCTTTTTGAGAAAGCATTCCTAAATAATATAGATGATTAAAAGAATGAGAGGAACGATAAGAAAAATAAGGAAAAATCTTTGAGCATAGTCTTCTATCTCAGTATACTTGGCTTTATGCCATATATTTTCTGGACGAAATAGAAATAGGTTGCATTATGTAGTGACAGTGACAGCAGTGAGGTACTCACAAGAAACTCAAAAAAAAGATATGTCCTCAGTATGTTAGATTTCAAGAATATCTACACTTGATTAATGTGATACTCTCTCTATGGAATTGGACCAAAAAATGATCTTTTTAGAGAACTTTTCACTGTGGCAAACTGAATATAATGTCAAAGACAGGACTAGAATATGCTTACAATTGAGTAAGCAGAATTTAATCAGTTGTATGAGTATTGCTATATGTGGAGAAAGGCTTGGTACTCCAACCTTAGGAACCTCACTCAGAGCATAAATCTGTAAGGTAGGCATTATACACCCTCCCCTCTTGTTTACAAACTTCACAGCTTACCCTCTTGGTTCTGAATTCACTGTAGCCAACTGTGTTGCTTCCTCACAAGGGAAAGAATGCCATGATCCATTAGTGTGAACATTCTGTTCTGCTAGATAGTCGTATGTTTTTATGCTAAATATTGAATGGGCTTAGATAAAAAAAAAACAACCATGATGCCAATAGAGAAGCCAGCTTTTCTTTTTCTTTATAAGTACCCCGTGTACTTACTACTTATATGCTTTTCTAAGTTTCTGAAGAGATCAAATTTTTATATTTATATACTTTTCTATCTGGATAGCACTTTGGTTTCAGGCCTGCCACTAGTTATAGCCATGTACCCATGGTGGACAGGTTTCAGATGAGCTTTCAAACAAAGACAGACTAGGAAGAAAGAGTGACAGACTACTTCCGAATCATTAGTCACTGAAAACTCTATGAATAGCAGAGAAACA